CAGGAATCTTCCTGTAAAGACCTTTTGTCTTAGTTAGGGTTATTGTGATGAAACACTATAACCAAAAGCAACTTGGGGAGGAAACGGTTTATTTCACTCATAGTTTCATATAAGAGTTCATCATCAAAAGCAGAGAGGACAGGAATTCATGCAGGGCAGGAACTGGAGGCAGAAGCTGATGCATGCCATGGAGAGGGTCTTCGTATTAGCTTGCCCACGGCTTGCTCAGTCTACTTTCTTACAAAACCCAGGACCACCAGCCCAGGTATGGCACCGTTCACAATGGGCTGGGCCATGCCCCATCAATCAGTAACCTTTTAAAATGTCCCTATAGGCTTGTCTACAGCCTGATGTTATGAAGACAATTTATCAACTAAAGTTTGCTCCTTTAAGATAATTCTAGTTTATGTCAAGTTAACATGAAACTTGCCAGAACACCTTCATAAGAACTTTAGTTTGTCTTGGGCTCTGATGAAACTGAAGATTATCACAAATCTCCCCATATCTGTGTTCGAAGTGAGCCCTATGCAAAAACCAAGATGATTGAACCCTATCTAGAACTCTGTGTGCTGAGCACTGTGGCCTGCCTGGAGCAATGCAGCTTTAGCCAGAAGGAAAGATAATCTCATCCAACCTCATCTGCCTCTATTCAATCTCCTGGCCACTGGTAATATGTAGAAATTGTGTTGGTGGGAAGACAAAAGAGCCCAGATCATTGTGGGAGATTGGATGAATTCCTGCAGTGACTTTTAAAAGTGGCCTAGGCAGTGGCCCATGGGTGGATCAGGTCTCTAGCACCTGACAGGCAGAGGCATGGAGAGTGAAGAGCTATATATATATATATATGGTTGTTTATTTCTTAAATAAGCAAGTCACTCAAAATAACAGCTGCAGCATCTGCAATAACCAAAGTTGCAGACCACACTGAATGACTTCCCTGAATTCTTTTAGTGCTGTTAAGTATAGTAAAAATCACAGAATGCTGGACACCAAGCTCTTGAGTGATTTGGAATTCAAGTCATACCTCCAAGATTTGTTTTATGCTTTGTCTGCCATGTTCATCTTGCTGCTTGCCCTTTGATACAGGATTTCTGCCATCTAATCCTTGTGGAAATCAACAGCATGCCTTTTCAGGCAGACTTCTTGTCAGCAGGGCCTCAGCTCAGCATCTCTGTGATGTCTTCCTTTCTATATGGCATCTGTGCTCACTTTGCCATTGCTGTCTGGTGCTCCACATGCGCTGTTCTCCATAGGGTCAATGGTGGAGTCAGATGGTCACATTCCTTCACATCTTGGAAACAGTGCTGGGAAACCAATGCTATATTTAGTCAAGTCTGACTGTGTTGATTGAGAGTCTCATTGCCCTTAATAAAGAAAAGTTACTGGGAGAAATATTTCATTGATAGTTACTGTAATGAGAATATAGAAGGGGTAAAAAGTGTTTAACAGTGTGGTTATTTAAGAAATGTTCATAGTTATCGAAGATATGAAGTGGTTGCTGTCCAAGAATAAGATTCTGAATTTGCAAACTTCCCACTGTTTGCTCTAGCAGGTCCTATTCTTATCTCTGTCTACTTTTTCTCCTGTATTAGACTTCTTAATAGCTGAGAACATGTCTCATTCATTCTCCTTAATTTTCACATTTCCAATGCAACTACTGACAGCATGGACCTGAATAGATGAGTAGTACAGCTTTGGGAAAATGTACTAGTGTTCTACATTAAAGCTCAGTAGGTCTGCTTTTATACTGATTGAATGACCTCCCCCAACACACACACACATACACAGTTTGTATAGTTTTAACATTAAAAATGTTAAAATGCAAACCAATCCTTTCTGCCCCATGTCTTCTGCACCTGCCAAGCACTCTCTTTTTACTCTCTGTCAGGCTAACTTGCTCACTTTGAGATGAAAGCCACCTATTACTTCTGTGAGTTACTTTCTCAAGCATTTACATCCCCTTTCTGGCTTCAAGTCCCCATCTGCTTTCTGTTCCATTTACATTTGCTAGGACTCTAGAATGTTCTAACTTTCACAGTTATATATGACTTGTCATTAGAATGTGCACCTGTGGTTTGTTGTGAGTGCATTCCATCACACTACAGGACATCAGTTAGCAAATGGCTTCATGAATTCTATAATACAATGATATTGAACAATACACTGTTTCCTCCACAGAATTAGAAATGAGAACCACACAAAGAAACCTAGAAGGACAAAGAAGTCCTTCTTTGTGGCACCCACCATTCAGAGATAAAAAACAATTGTTGGCTAATGTTTGTAATGTAATAGGAATATAGGCAGAAAACAAGTGTCCATCTTTCATGGAATTCTGAGAATAATTGTTAACAGTCAACTTGAGGACCTCACTAATTTACCAGTAAGGACAGAATAAAATCAGAACACTTTGGAGATGAGAATAGTTTACAAACCATCTTGTAAACACTTTTAGAAGCCATTAAGACCATCCAACTCTTTTATAGTACAGGTTGTGGAACATGAGATCAAACAACCTGGCATGGCTTATACTGCAGTATGTAAAACAAGAAACATCATATTTAGGCTCAAACCCAAATTGATTTTATTTCCTCTGTTATTGTATTGCAATTGGAACTGAGAATCGTTGTGGTTTTACATTGATGTTAGTAGGCTAATTTAATTTGTTGTTGTTGTTGTTGTTTTTATTGTGAGACACTATGTAGCCCCTATTGGCCTGGAACTCATAGGTATCTCCATAGCCTTTGCCTCTTGGGTTCTGGGATTAAAGACCACCACATACTCATTTGTGCACTGTGGTCTGAGGATAGACATGGGCTCCATAGTATCATCATAACCATCTCTTTGTCTTCAAGTGTTTGCAAAGCAATCCTCTGCCAGAAAGATAGCCCTCACCAGTGGCACTCTCTCATGCATACATTGGATGGATTTGTGCCAAAGAATTTTGGCAATGGGTTCAATTTCTCTTTTGTCTTGACATCCATAAGCTACATATGCCTTAAAGCTGCACACCAACTCAAACTGAAATTAATGTACTGATTTTACAAAAGGGTAAATAGAACATTTTATTAACACTTGTTTTGCAGCAACAAAATGACAGTTCACATCCTTTTACTCAGCACAGCAAAGGTTATGGTCACATGATAGTACTTTGAAACACAAAGCAGAGAGGAGTTTTAGTTTCTTAAAGTCAGGAGTGGTTCGCATTTAGAAACAAACTTCATGTTTTATATTTGCAGTAGCAGGGCCTCCAGTCAAGAGCACAGGACACTGAACAGATCAAATATCCACAAAAGACACATAAACACACCAAGTGACATTTTACGTTAAATTGGGTTATGCATTCTCATCACTGAAGAACATTATAAAGAATTCTGATGTTGACTTTTTTGAAAGAAATCATTGCTACTGCAGGCAACATGGGGATAATTTACAATAACAGGAGGTTTTATGCTTTGCACTTATTGCTTGGTACACAAATGTTGCAGTTCCTGTTGAAATATATTAAGAAATGATGAGCAAAATGCCTTTTTTTTCAATCTAAAATTCTATGATTCTATGAAAGTAGAAATTGCAATCCCCTAACCCAACATTAGGTGTATGCTGTTTTTGGTTCTGTGTGAAAAGTATTTGTTATGTTTGTGTGAGTGGATATGTATAAGATATACAGGGATATAGATATAATTTCAATATATTTTGTCCTATATACTCAAGACAAATATCTCTTAAATGGGACATTAGATAATAAAATTGTCTACATATATAATCTCTATTATCTTTTTATATTATATATAGCTTTGTGGCATGAGTTTCATATAGCCTTTAGTTATCAAGGAAGATTTCTAAATCATTTTCTATATATTTTGTTGTTAATATTGCATTTTAAGGGCTACAGCTTCATTTTATTAGATTCTTTGTGATTATATATATATATATATATATATATGTGTGTGTGTGTGTGTGTGTGTGTGTGTGTGTGTATGTCTTTATTTTTTTTGTGTATATATATATATATATATATATATATATATATAATTTTTTCCTAATGTAAGTTACAACCAGTACAAAGTTGTAATAAAAAATACATTGAAGTCTATTTCTTGTTATATTTTTTTGCAAAAAAAGTTATGTGATATGTTACATGAAAGTTGAATTTTATTGAAATGTGAAGGGTTTGATACTGTCAGGTAATGAATGGGAGAGCATGGAGCATACTCCTCCCTTTACGAACTCTCTTTCATAAAAAATAAGTGTTTGTGCCCAAGCATTTCACAAAACACTGCAAGATAAGCGCTTTGAAGATCACAAAATATCACAAACTGTGCACTCCTAATTACAATTCAGTATGAGTTGCTAGCTGCTAATATACAATATAGTTTTTCAATTAAAAGATATAGCCAATCCATGATATACACATGATGATTGTAGTCAATACCCGATCTAGCCAATTTTCCATTCTTTTTTTTTTTTTTTTTTTTTTTGGTTTTTTGAAACAGGGTTTCTCTGTGGCTTTGGAGGCTGTCCTGGAACTAGCTCTTGCAGACCAGGCTGGTCTCGAACTCACAGAGATCTGCCTGCCTCGGCCTCTGCCTCCTGAGTGCTGGGTAAAGGCATGCACCACCACTGCCCGGCTCAATTTTCCATTCTTACTATGTCTGTACACAGGATTTCCTTGGGATATTTTGCAGTCCAGTGTAATAAGTAAGTAAGTGCAGTTTGCATGATCAAGTAGCTTTGGCTTCCTAACTTCTGTAGGATGACATGTGCCAACTATTTTAGTTGTGCTCTCTAATGTGGTGATGGGTCCAACAAATATCTACTTATTTCTACAGTAAACCTCTAAATCACAAACCAAAGGATGAATGACCCCAATGGAAATGACATACATGACAACTTCCACAGATTGCACTTGATGGGAATCTGTGCCTGTTTGGAATTCATATTTTTTAAACAGCAAGACTTGCTTGGTTGATGTGTTTACATGTTTACACCACATTTTTAAATTATTTTGTGCAATCACAATGAATTTAATCATAACACTAGAAATGAATCCAGCAACTAGCTTCGTTATGAATAATCATCTTGGTCCTTATAGGTGTATGCATCTTGTGCTCCTTCCTGAACAAATTCTTCCTTTTTCTCCCAGCCATTAGGCCAGCCTCCATTCTCCTGTGTGGTGGCACCATAAGACTTGGTGGTACCATAATTTATATAATTCTGAGTGATGTCCCCTGTTTCTTCATCCAGTTCATCTTCATGAATGAAGCCACATTTTTCTTCACTTGTTTCCTCAGGGTCTGCCCAAGGTTGTTTCTCTCCTGAGGCAAATATTGCATAAAATATGACTCCACCATAGTGGACGAGTGCAGCGATGAGGAAGACGTACTGCCACTCTTCACGGGACTGTGATGAGAAAATCAGAGTTGTGAGAGCAAACTCCGTAACTGGAAAGCTACCCTGGGAACATGCTCTGCCATTAGGCTTTTCATGAAGCACTATCTTTGGAGTTACTCATTTCATACAAACACTTTGAAATAAAACTATTTGTTTTATTATTTAAAATTCTAAGATGATAGTTTGAAAATAAAATCACAAATACATCTCTAGTCTGTTGAATTAAAGAATATTCTCTTCTACACTTACTAATCATTTTTTAGCTTTCCATCTGCTTTTTTTTTTTTTTTTTGGTTGGGGGCATTCACTATGTAACTGAGGCTGGTCTTAAACTGAGGATAGTCCTGAGTCCCCTCAATACTAGAGTGACAGGCATGTACCATCTTAGCCAGTTCTCCAATGGTTTGCCTTTCTCGTTCATTTTCTTCATTTCCAGAGGTAAAAACTCAAATTTGAAGCCCTATATGTACATATAAGGACAGCTAAATAATAGTATTCCACATTAAACTGCTTTGGAATCTCGATTGAGGTTGATGAATAAATCTGGGAAGGCTATTTGTCTATTTTATTATCTAGGGACAAAGAGTTGTGGGGCTTGAGGGTGACATTCTTGTCACAACAGGAATATCAGAAATAGGCCTTTTTTTTTCTTTATACTTCCCTAGATTAGCTACTTAACACTTCTAAAATAAATACTCAATGGCTATTGGAAGGGCTTGAGGAGAACCTTTCTGGATGGTTGGGGAGGCAGACATTCCCAGAGCTACTATAGAGAACTGTCCCTCTGGGCTTCATTGGTCCTTCCCACTCAGAAGTGGACAGAGCACTTCAAGAACACCAAAGCTCCTTCCCAACCATAAGAGAGAATCTTCTACAGTGGAACCACTCTCACTCATACCTTGTTCTTTGTCATTGCACCAACAATGATCGGGCAGACCATCCCCGACAGTGTGCCAACGCCATTTGAAATGCCCATTAAGATACTGGCATATCTTGGAGCAATATCCAAGTGGTTAACATTGAAGCCTGAAATATACACAGAAACTTTGGCTCAAGGCAATGTAAACTTCTAAGAAGCATGTACATGGTACAGATCTTCCCAAAAGATACTACGTGCATACTGTGTGCTTTTCATAACTCCATTCAAGGACATCATGAGAAAGAAAGGACGTGCATTTACTTTTCCAATACTCACTATGGCTCACTAACACAATTCTCTTAACAAACTGATCAAGTACAAGAAAGAAGGAAACAGTCAGTAGGGGGGAAAGGTGGACAATCATAATTAAAAATGATGTTTCTAAATGTTATAACTCTTGTCCAGCACATAGGTAATTACTAGCAAAGATCAAGATGTAATGTAGACAAAGAGGATGACTCTTACCAGAGATAGCAAATCCACTGAATCCTACTGCAAGCACCAAGAAGGAAATGGCCACCCCTCTAGTGTGAGAGTAGCCAACAACCAATAGCAGGGTGGCTTCCATGCCAAAACCTTTGGAGGCAAGCACAGGGGAGTATTTTTTTGAAAAATTTTTACAATGTATTTTGATCATATTCATCTCCTCCTCCAAATCTTCCCAGAACCACCCCACTTCCTTACCTACCCGTGTCCCTGTTTAAAAGAATAAAAACAAAACAAACAAACAAAAATCCTATTAAGTGGTGTTATTGGATGTGTGACCTTTCATTGGATTATGGCCAAATTATTAGGAGTTATACTCTTTCAGAAAACTGATTCTCCCATCTCCCAGAAACTGTCAGTTTGCCAATGGTTCCTCAGCTAGAAGTGAGACTTGGTTCTCATCTTCTCTCAGTGCAATCATGGCATAAACATAGTTGGATTACTAGCTACTAAAATCACAAATCCTACTCCACAAGATTAACCCATATTGGTTTTACAGGACATAGGCTTCATGGGAGAATTTCTACTTTAACTTTGCTAAATCAACATATTAAACCAACTTCAAATGACTTACCTTTAAATCCATATATTAACTTATCTCCCACCCCTCATCAGAGAAAGCTTCTGCTTACAGTAGATAATGGTGAACCCAGAGACCCACAACTAGCCAAGGTATAGAGAATAAAAAATAAAGAACTCTCACCACCAAGCAAAACATATGTATTGTGCACATGTACATGGGTGCACACACATACACACACACACACACACACACACACACACACACACACACCTTCAAATGCTCAGGGATCATTGAGGAAGAGGGCACAGAAAGTGTGTAAGGGATAGAGGCAGTGGATGTCTACACGGAAATAGTGTCTTCTAGACACAGCAGGGCAGCTTCACATATGAACTCACAGTCATTGTGACTGTATGCATAAAACCTGTACAAGCCCAAATCACACTAAACCCAACAAAATTATTATAACTTTTAAAATTATAGTACAAAATTATAGAGTAAATTAAGACTACTTAAATTTCTCGCTCATACCAGTTTGGACAGTCTACCTCAGAAAGAAAGACATAATGCTAATAATTTTTTCCAGAGATTATTGGGCCATTCATAATGTACATTTTAAGTTCAAATTGACCTGAATTTTAGTGGTCAGAGATTTTGTTACAATATATACAAATGACTTCACTAATTGGTGTCTTATAATGAGTGTTGAAAAACTTGGCCATGGGAAAATGATTTCAAAAGAAAAATGAAGGTGCATGTCTAACTGTCACAAAGCAGCCTAACACACATAGAAAATCATATTCATGTATGTAGATCACGGGACCTTCAAACAGGAACACATGCTTACCACTCCACACACACTTACCACCACAATTCATGATCTTTCTCACTGTAGTTGTTGAAAGAATTTGCTTGCTTCTTAGAAAATCTGCAATTTGCCCCCCGATAGGAACAATGATTGTCATGACAAGGTGTGGGACCGCAGACAGCATGCCAACCTGACAAAAGCCAGAGGGGGAGAGAAGTATGAGAGAATAAAGGAAGTGGGCAATTGAGTAACCCTGGCTTCCTGTCTGTGTCTTCATCCAGCTCCTTATGAGCTGAGGAAGGCAGAACACTGTTTCCAAATGCACACCCACTCTCCTAGAGTAAGCAGTAATGTTCACAGAGCAAATCGTAAAAGCTAAGTAAATTTACTTTGATCCTTTTTCTGTATTCTTAAAGCAGAAAAAATTTTATTGCTACATTATGATTCAGTGCATTCTGAGTTCATGAATCAACCCTCCTGAATCTTGTCAGGGAATGAGTCACACTTGTTTATCCATCTCATATCCTTAAGTGTGTTTGCACAAAAGCATCATTAATGGGAGGGAGAGACCTAGGGAGGAAAAGATGCCTTTGGCCATCAAAAAGGCTGTATTTGAACTTTCCATTTTATACAATAGGTGAAAGACTACACATTTGCATTTTAAGACACCTCTTTCAAATTTCAAAGCATAGATTTCATTTATGAAAATCTCACACGAATTCTTCAGTTTGACTCATTTGCAGTCAAATACAGTCACATTGTTATACTGTGGTACGCAGCCTCTAAAATGATTTCATAGAAATTATGACAATCCCAAACCAAGCAATGCCTTCAACACACATTTTTTTAAATGGAGGCAAAGACAACTGAGTTTCTTTTATTTATTTGTTTGTTTGTTTATTATGTATACAACATTCTGCTTCCATGTAAATCTGCACATCATAAGAGGGCACCAGATCTCATAACGGATGCTTGTGAGCCACCATGTGTTGCTGGGAATTGAACTCAGGACCTTTGGAAGAGCAGTCGGTGCTCTTAACCTCTGAGCCATCTCTCCAGCCCTCAACACACATTTTTTAACAATTAACTATGAACAAGAGACAGTTCCCTAGGTGTTGAGGGAAAGGGCACAAGAAAAAATAACACATTTAAATGGGCTATTGCCACATAAATGGAGGTCCTCACTAGAGTATATTTTTGAAGCACAGCTTTCAGCAAGGGAAAGACTGGGATGTAGTGTGTGTGTTTAAGCACATCTTCCAAGTGGGTTATTGGACATATGATGTGCAGATTCTGTTTTTGCTTTACAGTGACATACAGAATGTCATTCATGCTCAGAAATGAGGGTTATGGTCATGACTAGTTAAGAGAGGGAAGCATTCCAAGACAGATTCAAAGGTTTGAACTGTTGATTTCTGAATGACAAAACTGAGATTGAAAAGGCAATTTTTAAACAGTTCTACCCAAGTCCAAAGACTGAGCTCTTAGTGTGCATATGCTCAGCCACTATGCCATCTGGGAAAGAAAAGGAAATTTAAATCATATATTATGTATAAGTATACACAATTTGCTTACAAGTGGGTGTTCATTAACTGTGACATAAGTAAAAAATATAAGGTAAATGAAATGTATGGAAAATATTGATTTTGAGAATAACATGTTGGAAAAACACAGTGGTCCTTTATTCTTAGTCACCAGAGATATATGTCAAAATTCAATGTAAATCAGGAAGATGTTAAAGAGAACACACACTAAAACACACATGTAAAGGTTTTCTCAGAATCCCATGTCATGTTTTTGTTTCACAAGTGCAGGCTACCTACTTAAGAGTGACATTTCCTGTTCACAGGACATGCTTTACATCTGAAAAAAGCCTTACATTGGGCAGCCTCAACTATCTACTGTCCATTTGAATGAACATTTTTTCACTTTGCATAAGCGAAGAACAAAGATAAAAACATCCATTTATTACTCTTTCAGCAATGTCAGGAACAAAACTGAGAGGAGCTAACAGCTAGAGGCTGTTGATAGGTAAGTTTTTTGTCTCAGCTTTGGTGCTTGGATGTACAAAATCTTCTAGTTTTTAGGCAAAATTTCCTGAAAGTTATCCATGTGTAGGTCTTCTCAGCTCTGGTGACTTATCAATAATAACTGCACATATTATCTGACTAATCTATTCCCTATCAGATTGTCTTTAGTTTGTTTATTGTTTTAAGGTTTTATAAGAATAAGGTGGCTATTTATCCTCTACAACCTATTCTTAATAGTCCCAGGTCCTCAGACACAACTCTTCCCTCTACTTTGTACTCTATCTGAACCATATTTTGACATGTTGGGAGACAGAACACAAAGCACAGCTTCTCCAACTGAGGAACTCAAGGGAACAAATGTCTCTTCTCATCTGATTTGCCCGTGGATTCTGAGGTTTAAAGGTGCTCATTAAAATCCTAAAATTAACTTTGCTATGATTTGCAACTCTCAAAGGAGCTGAAAATACATACTACCATTGAAAAATACACACACACACACACACACACACAGAGAGAGAGAGAGAGAGAGAGAGAGAGAGAGAGTTAACTAATACAGTTCACTTATGTGTATGCATGCATTAGGTCCTATATATAACTATGTAATACTGTATGCAGTATTGCATGCCTGTGAGTGTGTACATGGTCTCATCTTGTCTTAAATAAGTAAGCATATTTGGAATGAAGGTTAAGGTAGATATCCCCTGTGTGTGGTTCTATCTATATGATATATGCATTAAAGCTCTAGCTCATAAATAAGAAAATTAAGGATGATAATTATAAACCAGTCCTAATTTGTAGGTCAATTCTTCATTGTGAAGCTTAGGATTAAAGTCTCATGACTTGGACACACCTGGTTGTCCTAGGCCCACCATGGCCTCTTCCAGCTTTTTTTCAAGTTGGAGAAATTAAAACATTTTTTACCAGCTTACCATGCTGCATGGAGAATGTAACTGCAACTTTAGTTTAAAAATAACAAGTGAATTAATCAACCCATGTGTAAGTTCATTTAGTTTTTGGGAACTACCCTGATTTTATTCAAGTGTTTTCAGTTAATTGGAGATACAAGCCCAGCAAGATGATTTCATTACCATCAGTTGGTACCTCTCCCCACCCCCACGAGTCCTGGCTTTATTAATAGCTGCCGAGTGTCACATTTGTCCTAGATTATGAAAATGGACTCACACCTCCGGCAGTCTTTGTTGAGAGATGTGACACTCTCAGAGGACCCAAGGCTGCCCTGCACTGTTTGAACCGCTCCAGGAAGAAGAGGCTGGTCTACAGCAGCCATTCTTCTCAGGGAGAGGGGAACTGTTTCCTTAGAAACCACCGCTTCAAAAGAGCTCTTAGGCCAGCAACTGCCTGGCTCAGGCTTTCTCTAGCCCAGCTCTCAGATAGCCTTTCAAGTAGAGACACAATATGAACAGCCCAAGCCCAGCCGGACTTATGTAATGACACAAGGAGAAATGGCACAATCATTGCCAGCAAAGATAAATGGATTCAGGACTCAGTAGAGAGCTGCAAACAGAGCTCAGAGCTGGCACTCAGCACTGACCTGCTAAGTGTGTGACTAGATGTACAGGTCACCTGATGTATGAAACTGTAAAGGGGATAGAAACAGAAATGGAGTATCCATTCCTAAGTGTGTAACTAGTTAGTATACCTTTAGGCGATTTCAATAATTACCCTCAGTTCTGTTTTATCATCAGTTAAACAGAAATGATGATAGCTATCCATCTGGTCTACCAGATGAGGTTATTCATGAATATGAAAGAAAATTCTAGAATTTCATATCCCTATGCAGAAGGAGTATTTAAAGTTGAGTTCTCCCTTATAGAAAATCTGAAAATGGATTTATTTCTGTATCTATAAACAAACATCTTGCACACCCTGTGTGTGTATTGATAACACAAGATTTTTGTCTATACTACAAAGCTGCAAATATTGGCAGAGAGAAGCAGTGTTATATTTCTGAATAACATAAAGTGTCCTATAATAGTCCCAACAATCCTTGTTAGATTAAATTGGATGAACAAAGTGCAAGGAAATTTTCAGTCTTTTCATTTGCTAAGTATATATTTCAATTCGACAGAGAATACAGAAGGAGAAGAGGTTGATAGTAACTAAAACACAATTCCATTAGACTAGATTACTTTTCTTTCTAGCAGTTCAATTGCCTTGGACCAAAGGTTGTTGTATTTGTTTGCAGGTCAAGGACTACATTGTTGCTCAGACCCATTGAGATATAAGCTACCAGAAGGCAGGCAGAGATGAGATTCTTTTTCCCTGGATCCCCAGAACTAGAGAGAGATTTCTAGCAGGCAACAGAATAGAGTAGGACACACACACACACACACACACACACACTTACTTGGACGTAAATCATCAAGGTTAGAAGACAAACTTTTGGCTAAAGAAAGGAATATTCACTTAATACAAATATTGTCACATATTTTAATGGGGTGAATTTGTACATACCTTGCTGATTTCAAATCCAAAAACTTCCTCAAAATAAGCTGGTTGACTGATGAGCAGTAAATAAAAAGTCCAACTCCTACAGAAGTTTGCAACAATTATCGCATAGACAGGCATGGATGTGAAAAACTTCCTCCACGGGGTCTTGAATTTCTGAAAGTTCAAACAGTGTTACGCTGTATTATCATTTTCAGAGTTAATGTAGTGCTTTCTGTTTTCAAGTGCACGGGCTGGAGCGTGAGTATGAGATGAGGTGGTAATGACAGCTTCCCACTTAACCTCGGGTGGTGAATAAAGGAGAAAAATGAAACAACAGTCTGTCCCTCCAACTAAGTAGTTAGTTTTTAAACTATGCAAAATCCATGTATATAGAAAATAAATTCCAAACCATGGGTTCTACAGTCTATGATTTTAAAGCAGTTATTGCCCAGCAAAATACTGCCAAATCAGTGGTTTTGTGATATCTAAAATATTGAAAGCTGAATGTACTTGGACAAGAGAGAAAAAAAATAAGAACCTGTTATTTCCCAGCCTCTCTGAAGTCAGCTAAGATATCATCTACCTGTAAAATCCCCTGACAGTTTGTGGAGATCAATATTTTTATGACACTGTGATATAAGTTCCCAGAATATCCTGTGATGTTGGAGGTCACCATGTACAGCCCAGGACATCATTACCAGGTAATTATTACATTTACATCTTTTTAAAATGAAAACAAAATTGCTGTGATTACAATACCTTTAAAAATCTAACCTCATACAATTAATATTTTAGACTTCAAACTATTTCTCATAGTCACAATTACCTTATCATAAAGACCAAAACTATAGCTGCCAAGGAAATATTTTCCTAAAATAACCTCATTCAAAGTTTTATCATATCCTTGTCATGATAAAATGATCAACACAGGAAACTAATTTTCTCAACAGATTTAGTAATTATTCCTGCGTTTTTGAACCCCATAATTGTTAGTATTAAACTATATGTGCTTAGATTTTCAAAAATCATTTCAAATATAGGATAGTAAGAGACATGTACCAATAATATATAGGAAACACTATAGCTTTTGATAAGTACTTATTTTGTGACAGCATGATTGGTAAGCTCCAATTGGTAAGCTGTATGTCAAAAATGCTGAAGATACTTCACAGATAAACAAAAATGGCCAAAGAGAGGAATGTGCACATTAGGGTACCTCTGTAAGTGGAATAGGTAAGAGTCAACAACTTCTTGTTCCTACTGGGAGAGTACTTCTTTGCTTATAGCAGGATTATCTTCCCTGACACTATATTCTTCATATGGTAAAGCACTTCCCCAACAGGAAAAGTATCAGTTTTTAAATCATTTATTTATTTTATCTTGTATATATGCATATTTTGTCTTAATGCAATGTGTATCTGTGCACCACATGAGTACCCGTGCCCACAGAGTCCAGAAGAGGGTATCAGATCCCCTGCAAGTGGTGTTACAGATGGTTGTGACCTGCCTGTAGGTGCTGGGAATTGAACCCTAGTCCTCTGGAAGAACAGCCAGTGCTCTTTCTTAACCACCAGGTCATCTCTCCAGCCCCCAGTTATCTTACTTTATGGCTTAAAAATCACTGGGAACTACAAGATGTATAGCATTCTGACAATGTGCTGTTTATTCAGCTGCTTTGGGAAAGTGGTTAGGATAGCAACGTGTCTGCATTTGATCTCTACATGTTCCTGTATTTATATCATGTTTAAAACTATTCCCTGGAGAACAACATCAAAGATTTAAGTCACACAGTTGACTGTAACCTGTGATTTTTTTCATTGGATACACACTCAGAGCAAGTGCCTACAAAAGATTATGAAGGCAGGGTGATTCTTATAGGTGTTAGGTGAACTGTGTATAAGAAATTTAATGTGACCATGAATTGGGCAGTATCAGTGAGTAACTGCTGATTGTGTTACATTTTGTAGATCTCTACAGAAGAGAATATGGCATATTCATGGGACAAAAGTATGAAACTTTCCAGGAAGATAAAAGTAAACAGGACAAGATGTCAACTATGCTTGCACCTGTCAAGGACCCTTCTGGGTCCTGAGGAACATAGCCTTTATCTGTGACCCACACTGCCTGCCTTTTCAGAAGGCTATAATTCAAACCCAGGCCTTGAACATTCTTGGGCTAGGCTATTGCTCCCAAACTCTGAAAGAAATGGGCCATATCCCTGACATACATCCCTTAAACCTTCCTATGCGCCCTGTCTGCTGATCCCCTTGCTGCTGGTCAAAATATATCCCTTTCTCCTGTTTACATCCCGTTCTCCTGTCTATTTGAGCCCAAATTGCTCTTTGCTACTTTAAAAATCACACTGGGCTGGTGTCCCTGGTACTCAGTATTCTTTCTTCCCCTGACCTCCCTCCCTCTCTCTCTCTCCCCCTGGTGTATTTTGGGTACCTTCGGTGGAAACTCCCTGGCCACAGATTTCTGAGGCAATACAGTGCTGGTATCAGAGAACCATTGTAGATTGTTTTAGCAGTGTTCTGACAAAACAATCTGTGACTATGCTGCCTACTTTTTTATATGCAGTGTTTGGTTCAAAAGAACCTAAAACCCAAGTTCTACCTACATTTGATCTTATTTTAAAATTCATTTTGAAGTGACAGGAACATATGAAACCTAGTAAGAAGAAAGATGCAGTGCTTTTAAAAGGCAATGAGGAAAGCCAGATGATGTCGTGCCTCTAAACCACTGCTTATCAACTGTCCTAAGGCTGTAACCCTTTAATATAGTTCCTCATGTTGTGGTTATTTTTTGTTGCTACTTCATAACAGTAATTTTGCTACCATTATATATCATAATGTGAAGTTTTTGGAGATAGAGAGTTGTCAAAGGGTTCACAACCCACAGGTTAGGAACTACTGTTCTAACCCATCTGCTTTTCTTTGAAAAAATGGAGAAGATAGCAATCATTCCTGAGAGAGGTCAGGGAGAATGCAAGAGAGAGAGAGAGAGAGAGAGAGAGAGAGAGAGAGAGAGATTGGTACAGACTACTTTTATTTAATAAGGAACTGTAACACAGTTAATCCAGGATGGTGAGATGAGCAGTACAAATAAGTATAGACACGATAATGAAATACTTACTTCCATTGCACCTAACAGATTTGCACTCTCTCCAATGCTCTCTTCTATGTACCTACGCTCTTCATCTGTAATGGTAGGATGCTTTGCAGGACTCTCATAAGACACCAGAAGCCAGAACATGTACCAGACCATGCCAAAGCTTCCTGTAAGAAAGGGTTCACAAGGTGATCGAAGACAGTCACCAGAAATACAGTTAACAGCCAAAAATTGAAGATAAAATATTCTCAGTGAGAACCATTTGATGTGGTGTGAGCAGCTGACTTTAGCCACTGCTTCCTGTCCTCTGCTCTGGACATCAGATTTTCCAAAAGTTTGATGCCACAGTTCATATTTTTGTCTGTAGTTAAGCAGCACTGATATACAGAAAACTCAAAGCAACTACTAAATGATAGAAGTTGGGAGCTTAGTCACACATCTCATATTCCGTGACTGAGCTGCTCCAGACTAGACACAATGCCATAGAGCAGAAGAATAATGAACAAGACCAAATTATTCCTTTGGGAGGATTCCATGAAGTGAGAGGTGAATCCTTTTCCTATTTGCTGACCTTCAATGTATAAAAGTGGTTTAAATTTCCAGAGAGGGAGAAATATCTGTTCTCCTCTCTACCTAGCACTTCTAAAGGCCATACACTGTTTTGAAGCAAAACACAAAAGAGTTTTCTCGACTAAACGACCATGTTAGATGAACACAGGCCTCCACAATTGCCCCTTCACATGATGTGACTATACACTGTATTCTCGCTCAGACTTTGCTGATTATTTTTGGACTGACAGAAGTTATATTTCTGGGCTATAAACTATTTTCTCTCCTTTCCAGTTCTCTTCTTTATTTATCACCCTCACCATGAACTTGCTGTGCATTATAAATCTGTATGTGTTAACAGGAGGAGAAATTCCAGGTGATTTATCCTGCTTTCCCCACTGCCAGCCATTGCATTTTTCTTTCAGTCTCTTCCCTTCTTTATCCCTTGGGTAACAAACTAAATGCTCCTGAGCTTACTAATACTTCATATTTCTCTATTTAACCTCTAAGACATCTTCCTTAACACTGGACATAGCTTCTGGTGTGCTCTCTTCCCTTTAATTACTGACCATGAAGCAAATGTGAATTGAGGGCCAGATGTTTTGTGAATCTCTTATATATGTAGTTATTATGGCAGGATTTTCATAGACTTAAATCCTAACTGTGTCATTCATTGAAGGTGGGATTCAATGAGCAACAGAGTCACTCCAGACCTCCACTACAAAGAGGAAAGGTTTAAGAGCCAGGGTTTTGTTACATGCTGTAGCCTGACCTCTAAATCAGAATGCTCCTGCCTCAGCCTCCTAAATGCTGGGATTTTAGTGTGTACTACAAAGTCCAGAGAAAAGCAACATCTATAATCTTTTGAGGGGGGAGGAAATGCTGTTTCAATCTCATAGAGCAGTGGGTGTCAGTCACACAGTGAGCATCTACTGAGAGTTCTATAAGATTAGCACTGAGTTCCTCTGATGTGTCAGTCAAGCATGACTCTAACTGCTCATCATGCTAGCTAAACTCATCCTACATGTCCTATATGTCACTCTGTTCCTCACTACCATGAACCCAATTAATATGCTGTGTTCTGTGCCACTTGGTGTTGTGTAGCTCTTACTTTCTTCCATTTACTCTACGGTCCAAGTTTTGTCACACTAAATTGTCAAACAAAAATGGAATGTGTTATTCAAGATCCAGTTTTTGTCTCAGATAGCAAGCAAGTATGTTCTGTATGATTATTCAAATATCTAATGCTTATCCTTCAATTCATTACCAATGATAAATATTAACTGAGGTTTAATGAAACCAAATGGCTTACTTAAAATATGTTTTTATTGAAAATAATTTTCTTACATCTTCTGATCATGGTTTCCACTCCCCCAACTCCTCCCAGATCTTCCTCACATTCCCACCAAGCCAACCCCATACCTTGTCTTTCTCTATTTAGAAACAACTAACATTTTAGATGAGTCTACAACTTTAGAGTCCCATCATATCGTCAAGTAAGTCATACACTAAGCCAAATCAGGGTAGCAAGTAGCTATACAAAGTACAAACTGTGTTGAATCACAGACCCTTGTGAAAACCTAATGAAAAAGTTCTCTCTAGAAGCCCAGAGAGACAGCCCAGCATGTGAGGACACTTTCTATCACATTTGAGTTCTGTTCCAGACTTCTACATGTGGTCCTCTGGCCTTCATACACATTCCATGACATGCACAAGAGACAGTAGTGAAGGGGAAATAACAGGTAAACACTTTCTTTTCTCCAGAATATAGAGAGTTTTTAAGATGATAAAGTAAACAAATTGTATGTTGTAAGCTGTCATGTTCATTTTAGCCTTTATATAACTCTATTGTAAACAAATGTGACATACCATACACATAAAATACCGAAGACCATCCAGTGTATTGCACAAGGATACCAGCTAAGGGCATTGCAATGACTGCTCCAGCATAGGAACCTAGAGGGGAAGGGATGAAGGAGGAAAGTAGGTGAGAGCAATACAAGTTTGTTTTCTCCTCACATCTGCCAGGACTGGCTCACACAAACACTTACAACAGTTACACACACACACACACACACACACACACACACACACACACACACACACGTTCTACTTCTACTGAACATATATCTACCCTACATCCTTATACAAAACCACAGGACCATACCTCAGATCACACCTGGGTAGATAGGGCATAATAGACTTAAAGAACTATAGCCAGGTGTGGACAGAGAGATGATTAAGAACACTTACTGCTCTTACAGAGGACCTGTGTTCTGCTCCCAGACCCCACACAGTGACTCACAACCATCCATAACTTCAATTCCAGGGGATGTGATGCTCTTTCCTGGCCTCTGAGGACACTAGGCACACAGATTGTGCATTTACATACATGCAGACACTCCAACAGATCAGATAAAAATAAGTAGATCTTTTTAGAAAGGCATATATTGTCTTGTACTACAAGTTTTATCTTTGCGTGGTGTCTTCTGCTTTTATTTTAAAACTTACCAAAAATAATTGTGAAAACAGTATCTCAGATAGAGAAAAAACCTGCAATATTTAAAGTCTATGACCTAAGCCTTAATATTTAAAAATTTAGCATCTACAGATAATAACATTGCTGATAATTTATTATTGGTAGATTATTTATAGTAGCTCTGAATTTTAAAGTGAATTTTTGTTGTCTCTTGATCTGATTTAGAATGGAACTTTTCTTAACTAACTATCTGGGGCTCAAAAAAAATCGTTTTAATGTGGCCAGGCATGGTGGCACATGCCTTTCATCTCAGCAGATCTTTGTGATTTCAAGGGCAGCCTGGTCTAAATAGGGAGTCTCAGGCCAGTTCTACACAGCTATCTCAAAAATAAAAAAGTAAACAAATAAGAATAAAACTACCAGTTAATATATTTGAAAATGGTCCAACTTCTAAAACAATACAAAGCACAAAGAAAAGCTTGACTTTAAAATGCCATTGAGAATTACAGAATTAAAATAGTGTTCAAAAGCCAGACACTTTTATAAATGGATTTATCAGCTTCGAATCCTTATCTATGTTGTCCCTAACTGTTAACCAATTGAAGTTACTCACCACAAAAGGATGTGGTAGCCAGCCTACTCCTCTCCAAAGGAGGGGCCCACTTGCTCCATATCCCGTGACAGGCTGGATAGGTGACACCCTGCAGTGGGAAAACAAACATGGGCACTTAGAATGCAGGGCCTATTGGAAGTGAGCACATCCCTTCCCCCTCTTTGCCCCCAGCCTGACTCTAATCAAATGATACAGCAGTAGGGGGTGAGGGATCCTGGTTCCAACAGGGGCTTACTGAACCCACCAAATTCTATTTGAGACATATTTCCCAGACCATGACTGCACAGAGCCTCTTCAGATGCCCCACCCATCAGGCTTTTCTCTTACTCAATTTTCTTCCTTTAAAGCAGAAGATAATATTGTCTACCAATTGGTTTATTTTTTATTCTAAACACTTGGTGAAATTTGGATACCTTTTGTGAGGCATTAGTTTGAGTGGTCCCCAAATACAAGGACCCTAACTAGGAGTTCAGACATCTAGAAATTGATGTTAACAATAACTAGCCTTTTCTATAATTTTGACTCTGTAGTATTTTTTTTGCTTTTTGGAAGAAAGAAGAATCCTCTCAGTGTTTTTATATTTATGTTACCTCTCTATTTCCATTGCACTCCAGGTAGAGAAGGGACAGTTTATAGGTCAAACTTGGGTTTTTAAATGACATTCTTTCAAAGTCTTCAGGATACTATATCAAGAACCAATTGGATGGGTACATGACCAAGAATATACTGAAAACACTTCAGTGTGTTAATGGAAAACAGAGACTTAAAATTCCCAAGGGGACTGGAGAGATAGCACAGCAATTAAGTTGAATCTCAGTTTGGTGCTCTGCATCTATCCACAGCAGTCTGTCTCCAGCTGCAGGGTATCTGATGCCTCTGGCCTTCTCTGGTGCCTGCCCTCACCTGTACATGCAGGCATGTGCACCTACACATAATAAAAATGATTAAAAAATTAATCTTCCCAAAAGTACTTTCAAGTCCTAGGGATGCCTGTTTAGCATGCATGCATGAAGCCCTGGGTTTGAGCCCCAAGTACATTGATCATTTTACATTCCCAGTGCTTCAATTTTTATTTTAACAATATGTTAATATCTACTTATCCCTGAAAACAAAGATGAACTTGCAGCTTTCAGTTCTATCCAAACTTGAAATGATGCCACCCTGTAGTTCCTACCTCCACGAGCCCCTGCAATATCCTAACAAAGATGACACATCCGTAATGCACTCTGGCTGCTGACGGGATAAGCATATTGAGAGTAGAGGTGAGCAGTATTGCAGCCCCAAAGACCCTGGAAGACAGAGATGGGAAGGTGTGTGACTCATCATGACTCAGACAACACACAACTCCTCAGGTCAACCTAAGTGGTTAAGAAAAACTACAACCAGTTTTTAAAATAGATGTTCTCCTAAAAGAATAAAATAATTTTATATGGATTGCCTAGCTGTCCTGGATGGGTCCTTGGATTACCTTAAAGCTGTACATTATTTATGTGCAAGAAACACAAGAATTGGCCAAAGGCAATCATAGTTTATGTTCCAGACATCACAAGGTTAGAACTCATAGCAAGTGTTTATCTTACTTAATGTACCAGTGTCAATTCTTTCTTTTCTTCCCATTTTTCCTCATTCTGGGATACAAAGGTAAACAGATTCTGTCTGAAGTATACCCACAGGATCATATATCCCCAACAACTTAAGAAACAATTGGAAATAAAAACTTTATTTTTTTCTTTTTGCAAGTATGATTCTCATTTCATTTAATCATTTTTTAAAGCATCCACAATTTTCTAAGGAATAAAAATACATCCTCCATGAGAGTGTAAGAACCGATGCCTTGCTAAGAAGTTTGAGGAACACATCCTTCCCCAAGTGATACCAGGTTACAATTGGAACTTTCGGTTCAGTCTGGGTAGGTCACCCCATGGATGTTATAATTTTTCCAGAAATGTATTCAGTATACCAGTTAACAACTTGAGTTTCTGAAAGAGCCGTAATGAGTATTAACCTGCTGCTGAAATTTGATAAATGAGTTCATGAAGGCCTGCAGAAGAACAGCTCTCTTCCTCTCACGCAAAGAGCAATCGGGGCAGATAATGTTCTTGAAAATGTACAGCCACATCTGCCTTGCTTTCCGCCTCACTGGAGACAGGATGCCCCACCTCATGTAAACACAGTCCCCTTTGCGAGCCATGGCTACTGAATCGGCATGTTCCATTTGGAGTCAAAGATGATATGGTATGCTAAGACTGGAGGGGGAGCACATTTGTCTCCTTGTAGCTATTTTGGATTAAATTTACTTTCTATGAATATAACTTCCTGCCATGACCTTCTTTCTATTGGGAAGGGCTTTAAAATGGTGCTGTTGTTAATTTAGTTGGAAAGAGGTGAAGGTTTGTTTTGTTTTGTTTTGTTTTGCTGTTGTGGATATTATTTTAAAATGTGTTATATTTGTTTATGCTGTGGAACGTTTGTTTAGTTATGCAAAGATGTATTGTACTCTTTTCTTTTATTATTATTTTTATAAATTAGTAACAAGCTTGCTTCACATGTCAATCCCAGCTCCCTCTCCCTTCCCTCCTCCCCTGCCCCCACCAACCCCTTAACTCCTACCCTATCCAATCTCTGCTCCCCAGAGAGAGTGAGGCCCTCCATGGGGATCTCCAAAGTTTATCATATCATCCCAGGCAGGGCCTAGGCCCTTCCCCATGTGTCCAGACTGAGAGAGCATCCCTCCATGTGGAATTCAACTCCCAAAGTCCATTTGTGTGCCAGGTCCCCCAAGTTCAGGGGGTCTGGATCTGTCCCATACTGGCCTCTCAGCCATCAGTCTGGGGTCCCTGAGCTCCCCCTTGTTCAGGCCAGCTGTTTCTATGTGTTTCACCAGCCTGGTCTTGACCCCATTGCTCATCACACCTCCCTCTCTGCAACTGGGTTCCAGGAGTTCAGTTCAGTATTTAGCTGTGGTTATCTGCCTCTGCTTCCATCAACCACTGGATGAAGGCTCTAGGATGGCATATAAGGTGGTCATCGATCTCATTATCAAGAAAGAGTATTTAAAGTAGCCTCTCCACTATTGCTTAGATTGCCAGTTGGTTTCATCCTTGTAGATCTCTGGAAATTTCCCTAGTGCCAGATTTCTCTTTAAATCTATAATGGCTCCCTCTATTATGGTGTCTCTTATCTTGCTCTCCTCTATTCTTCCCCTGACTCAACCTTCTTGCTCCCCCATGTCCTCTTCTCCCCCTCTCTTTATCCCAGCTCCTTCTCCCCTTCCCCCATGCTCCCAATTTTCTCAGGAGATCCTGTTAACATTCCCCTTCTCCAGGGTACCATGCATGTCTCTCTTAAGGTAGAGGTGACGTTTTATACCTTTCATTAGTTACAAGTCTCAACTTCTGGACTATTGACATTCTGTGTGGGATAACCCTCAGTTGTAGGATGCTGGCTTGTGCATGAAGTGCTGTTTAGTTCCATACTTGAACTTTACCCAGCATATACCAATGGCATTCTCCCTGTCAACCCCAACAGAAAATGTCTTCAGCAATTACCAAATCTCACTTAGTGGACAAAATCAGCCCCAAAGTGGAATCAGTTATGAAATATTTGTTGAATGCCAACCACAATCAGAGCTAAATTTAATGAAAGCTTATTTGAGGGAAACCATGCTAAGATCTCACGGGCTGTAACCCCATAACCACTAAATGTCACAGAAGCACAGGTATTTAATTCACCCATGTTATACATAAGAACATGATCTTTGCATGTGTCCTTTATTACAGAGTCCACCTTCAGCCTATAGTGTTTCTAATTCATAGCCACTTAACACTCTTTGAATGCTTCTAAGTTATAAATTCCCCACTGCCATTCTAATCATTGCCATTGCTTCTGAAAGTACACTGACTGTATTCTAACTGAGTAGGAGTAAAGTGCATCAAACTTTTTAAAGGCAAACAAGATTAGGGTCTTATTTGATTTTAGACAATTGCAACACAAATGATATCAAAGTGATTAAATTTTGAAACAGCATGATTATTACTCTGCATGGAAAGCCTTTATGCTTCCTTTTGTCACTCTGCCAGGACTAATGAAGCTTTTCCACTCATGGCTCACCTATGTACACTGCTTCAAACCCTCGTTTGACTTAGTGTATTGTGCTCATATTGGGAAGGGAGGTTTTCAAAGCACTTGCTATATTTTGCAACTCTATGATCTCAGCTAATCTTGCGAGGAATAACTGGCTGAGTGAGACTTTCTTTCCATCTTCTCATTTCACAAATAAGGAAAGTGCCTCAGGAAGACTGGCCAAAAATCAGCAAGCAGTGGAACAGAAATTTGAACCTAGGCCCTTGCTCTTTTGTTAAGGCTATTACTTATATTCAAGAAACATGAGGAAGACCCATAGTGCACCAGGAGAGTGAAAGAGAAAAACAAGGAATCCAGAAGCAGCAATTGCCAAAGTCTAACAGAAACACAAATGGAGAAATACTCTACTGAGGGTGTCCAGGAAGCCAAGCTTTCACTGAAAAGTCTTCGAGCCAGGTCTTGGAGAGGAATACAGCAAAGAAGAAAGAAATTGCAAAAGGAAGGAATGAATCACTGGGGCTCAAAACTGGAAGTGGTTGGATTATGGACAACTATCCATAATATATTATGTATTGTGTATGTAGTACCTGGCTTAACGGATTCCATTTGATAACTGCATGATTTGGCATATCATCCTGCAAAAAGAGAACACATCTACACAGATGAAGAATGGCTACAGCTCTAGGCAATGTAACTGAACAATAGGTAGTACATCTTTGACTGAAATGTCACTGTAGGACACATGGCTGGACCAGAAAAGAGGGCATTATTGAAGATGGCTGAACATGTGGTAGAGAGTATTAAGGAACCAAGAAAAATAGAGCAGATGATGCCTGAAGAGGACTGAAGAACATGGATAGGACATGAGGCTGGGGTTGTGATCAAGGCTATCACAACACAAAAGTGACAAGAGTTTGGAATGATCATACCAGATGAGATGATTAAGTCCCTAAGGTAAAATGAGTGTACAGCTTACTAAAATTGAAGGTAGGAGATATATGACCCAGGAGGTCAAAAAAACGATTAAATTTTCATATCACAGAAACAAATGGCCAAACCCACTAACAGTGGGGATAGGGCGTTAAGGATGGCATACATATAACAAATAAATAAATAAATAAATAAATAAATAAATAAATAAATACATGTTTGTAATATGCTGTCTTTATCACCTAATAACTGTATGACAGGCAAGCTGATAATCTCTCTGGCCTCTGATTCCCTGCCTGTTACAATCATTGAACCTTATGCCACTCCTGACCATAGACCTGAAGGAAATGATGGCAGCATGCAAAAGTGACACCTGCAAACACATATGTGTTTCCCATAACAATTCAAATAGCCAAGATTCAAATTAGTTCACATGCCCACTAACAAAAGCAAGATGAAAGAAAATATGGTATATACACAATAGCATATTACTCAGCCATAAAGAAAAGCAAAATGATATGTCTTGCATGAAAATAGACATTAAGAAAAGTAAGGCAGACATGGAGAGGCTAGCAACTGCTACATGTTTTCAACTATGTGGAAACAAAATTTTAGAAGATTTGCTGTAGCAGATGACTACAAGGAAACCATGTTTTTCAAAAAAACAAAAACAAAAACAACAGGGTAGTTCTATATAGTAATTATGACAACATACACAAAACCTTTGCAAGCTTGAGACAGACAAAATCCTAGCATGGGGCAAGGGCAGGTAGGGCTGGTCATGAAGTCCCATCCTTAACTGAAGAACTTTGGCACTTGGTAGCTGCTGGAGATGGACAGTCAGTTTTCTTTAAAGATGTAGCCCTTGATGGGTTAACCACACTCCAATGGAAGGCTGGATACCTATGAGTATATGGGCAGCACCAGTTGGACTCAGTGGGTTTGGATAAAGAGAACACAAAGGTGGTTCTCTTTTTGTGTGTCTTTAGGCATGAAAAAGGGGATGGATCTGGGAAGAAGTTAGGGGAAGAGGATAAATACGATTGAAGCACACTGTACAAAATTCTCAAAGAACTGTGAAGGAATAAAAATAAAGTGTATGGAAGAGTTAAGAGCATAACAAGGAAAAGACTATAAAGAAAATAACCACAGGCAACAGAAGGCAGAGGGTAGAAGGCAAGCTGGATAGCATCAAAGTACATTGGATGCTGGTATGGAGATTCATAGCAATAACCATGTGTTTATTAAATTAATATGTACTCAACAATCACCTCTT